TTGAATATACGTCACTAGCGATATCAACCCATGCCATGCGCATAATATGGAGAATTAAATCAATTCTCCATGGTCGTGGTTTCTTACCAAGGTCTCTCTTTGCTCTGAATATTCCTTTGTAGATGTCATTGAATAAAAATGAATTCTTTATAAAAACAAGTTTGTGGGCATTTAAAGACACATGGAGAGGATCCATCATGGGCCAAAATGACGTAACAAACTGAGGAATAGTTTTGTTATTAAGAAGAAGCCATTGCGCAATAGCCTTGTGAATATAAAATTGTCCAGGTCAATCCGTAACAATAGGAATTACGTGATTAGAAAAATATATCTGTATCAGTTCTTGATCATGCATGATTTGAAGAGCATTTATATATTCTTCTATGCCTTTCAAGTCATTTTTGATGAAATTGAAGAGAATAGAATTCTGTATATGCTGATTACTTTTTTTCGTTGCTAGCCTATCATTGTAACTGTGTAATGTTAGTTTTTCCATGAGCTCGTCATCTGAACATTCTCGTTTGATATTCTACATACTGTTATGATATGAAATACCAAGGTTTATGATAAATCATCTATCAAGATTCTTTATAATCAAATTGTCATTGACGATTTTTGAATTGAGTGCTCTATTACATGGTATCGCTGGCATTTGACATGGATTTGCTATGATCGTTGCTATGTGTGCTGCCCAAGAAGTACTAGTAGTATTGGATTGTCTTTGAACATGTATGTTATGATAATTGTCAACATTCAGTACAAAAGCATTTTCTGAATATTTTGCAAGAACATTTTTGACATATTTCTCATGCGCATCAGAAATTTTTTTCTTGCGATCTACTGCTCTTAACGTTGTAATCATATCAAGATTTGCCATTGTGTTCAAGTCTTCATTACTCATACCTACTGAATCTAAATGATATGCAAGATCAAACCTAAAGATATTAAATTTGGTATTATTTAATGATGCAAGAAGATAACATATAAACATCATTAATTTTTTCATAGGATCCATCATTTGCTCATTACGATCAAGTGGACAAGCTACCAAATAAAGTTGGTTAAAGAAACCTTTTAGGTTTGATTCAGTTTCTTGAAGCAATTTCCACATTTCATTAAATGTATATATGAAACTTTCTTTTTTCATATACTCTCTTTCATAGAAGATTTTTGCCATCATCTTAATAGTTTTAGTGAGATTAATCATACTTACCTCTATATTTGTAACTTCTATATCCTTTTCTGTTATAATTTCTATCTCTTCTCTAATCATAGCTTGTTCTTTAACTACAGTGTCTATTTCTTCTCTAAATATAACATCTTCTACAGTTGAGACTTTTATTTGTTTAGTACTTCTATTTAATAGATTTTCTACAAAATGCATATAACATGAATTACATAAAATAATATTTTTCATCCACATTATCTTTACTAGATTGTTACTTTCAGCTTCTCTCCATTTTTTTTTGTTCAATGAATGAAATCTAGTTGACTCAGTGATTTTGTATTTCATACAATATTTCTTTTCAGATAGATAAATTATAATATAAAAATTGTTGAATTCAAGTGAATTCAATTAATATTATTAAAATACAATGCGAAAGCAACAAGTTTGCTTAATGCACTTATTCATGTTTCATTACAAAGATGGGCAATTTTGGTTCTACAAAAAAGTATTGTAAACTGTATAAAAAAAATCTTTAATGAATTATATAATGATCTGCATTATATTTTCTTATATGAGATGGTCCTACCTGAAGCTTTGACAGTTTCTCTTGCAACAAAATAATGTGACTAGAAAAAAGATAATACTATTCAATGAGCCGTTAAAGTTAAAAATCCTAGAGCTGATATTTTGCTCAAGAAGAATAGTACGTATTGGTATTTACTTTTGTAATAAAAAAGAAAAGTTAACATACTTTCGTTGCTTGCATAGCATAATATAATAATCACCTGAACCGTAGCAATAAAAATGTGTTTTCAATGCAAAAATCATTCTTGGTATATGTACTGATACTATTATCATAGTAACAATAAATTTCTTAATTTTGCAATAATGCTCAACTAATTTTTACATGAAAATCTTACTGTAAACACTTTAATAATCTCCCACAAAGATCCTAATTACATGTATTACATGCTGATTATATTGTCAATCAGAATTTTCCATTTTTTTTCACCTTCACTGTTGTTCATTAATACTTTAACAGATCAGTGCTGATTATTTGAAAGAAGATTAAATTCTTTCTAAAAAAATCACAATCAAAGAAAATATTAATCTTAAAATTAGTATAGTAATTGGTATAATATCCCATAATTAGTATAATAACCTAAAAACTATATAAATTGAAGAAGTATAAAGAGTCTGTGAAAGACATGCTTTGATCAAATAAAATAGTAAAGTTCTTATCTGTAATAATAATATTATTTGTGAATATACTATTATTTTATTATTTTTGGTCAACTTCAAATCTTATAAACAAGTTACAAGTAGTGGATACTTCTCCACTCTAAATAAGCCATCGATTGTATTTCTTAATATTATTGTTATTCTGATTTTCCTTTATTCAGGTCATATCAATAAGTCCTATTAAATTATTTTATTAAATAGACTGTATTAATAAGTCCTATTATGTTATATTCATTAAATTGATTTTTGGATTATTATACTATTATTTTCATTTCCTTACTTTTTTAAATGTCAATTTGTGTACAAGTCGCTATGAGAAGCCTTTAGAATATCCAAAAAACCTTTTACTCATAAATAATTCAGTCTAGCTCTTATTCCAGTTGCGTAAAAACTTCTCTTTGATCAATTAAAATAGTAGCACGCAACAGACCATTAGGAATTTTTTTAGTATAACTTGCAGTGAACCAATTAGAAATTTAATATCACGTTATGTAGTTTTTAAATGATAAGTATGTATATTAAATAATATAATGATAATGATAATATTATAATTAATCTGATTATTGTAGCATATGATTAGGAATTATACTTTTTGACTCCAAACGACATTTTTGGGTTGGAGAAGGAATTATAATTTGTTCTTCTATCATTGTTCTCATTAGTTTCTACACAGTGAAACTCGAGTTTGGGATCATCTAACACTAAAAATTCTTTATTTTTTTCATTAATCTCTTTAATTCCTTGATGTTGTTGTAAAACAGAAATCAACGAGAATGGAGTTTTTTTTAAAAAAACAACAACTTTATAATTAAACACTTTTCATATTATGCTTGAAACTGGTAAGTGGAATTGAAGAAGAGTATGTAACTAAAAGGAAAATATTGATTTTTATAGTAAATGATCATAACAATGACGACAAATTGCTAGGGTACTAAGAAAGTAATAGTATCCTAGTCACAGCAAAAAAAAAGTAACTGTCATGTGATGGTGATCATACCTAATCTTGATTGATCTCTACCAATCCAGCTTTTAATCATGACAAAAAAGTACTTTCACATAATAATTTTGCATAACTATTAGAATATAGCTTGAAGCACTATCAAAAAATGTCGGGAAGGCAATTTTATATATAGTCTCTCCTCAAGCTCTAATATTTGATATTTAATATTAATCAGATATTTCAATCATACTTTTATCGTAACTAGAATATTAGACTCTTCTTATAATATTGATTAAATTATTTTTGGCAAGCACTATAATTAAATTTGACAATTTATTTTATTATTTATTTTTTGTATATATAGATACAAGCTAAAGAAAAAATTTATTATATTATATAATATATAAAGAATTACATTAAATAAATAAATTCTAATAATTTTATATCATAATATAATCTTAAGTAACTGCTGTTACAGTAATTCTGAATAGTGGGTTTCACTGAGAATCACTATAAGTATATGATGTTGGGAGAGGGACGATTAAACTTAAGTAAAGAGAATGAATTATAAATATTAGCAAAGATTTCTAAGACC